CCTTCCTTCCTTCCCTCCTTCCTCCCTCCCTCCTTCCTCCCTCCCTTCCTTCCTTCCCTCCTTCCTCCCTCCCTTCCTTCCTCCCTCCCTCCCTTCCCTCCTCCCTCCCTCCCTCCCTCCCTTCCTCCCTCCTTTCCTCCCTCCCTTCCTTTGTCCCTCCCTTCCTTCTTCCCTCCCTCCCTCCTTCCCCTTCCTCCTTTTCCTCCTCCTTCTTTCTTTTTAGATAGGAAGCATTCCTTCCTGTGAAAATCTGTAATATAACAAGGGTAATATTGTCAAGACAACAAAACATAATGTGCCATTATGAATGTAGAGAAAGGGGCAGTGTCTCTGTTTTTATTTCAAAGTTATTTACCTTTAGCCATGGTTAAATCCTAGTGTGCTTCCCAGGCTTCCGAGTCTTCCGAGTTAGGATTTCAGCTGCCTGTGTCAGCCCTGATTTTTTTTTAATCTCCTTACCTAGCCTTGGCCTAGGTGTTGTCTTAGATATTCCAGTAGTCTAACATCATAGACTACAAAAGAACATGAGCCATGCTTTATGGAGTGTCCTGGCCTCACGTATGGGAAGTACTTAAACACTTCTTAAAACTGAAAAATACAAAGATAGAATTTACATCTTCATTACACAAAGAAGGTGCAAAATAATCCACTTGAACTTTTTGCTGTTCTACTGAAAAATTAACCTGTAAACACAAAATTTTTAATTGAAAAAACAAAGAAACTCTCATGTTTATTCATTAATTCAACAGATGTTTATTGTTTATTAATTGAATTACCCCACATGTCCTAAACAATGAGCTGGGACCTGAGGACACCATGATGAACATGATTAATAAGGACGCTCCCCACAAAGTTTAGAGTCAATGAGAAAGGCAGATGAGCAACAGCAGTAATAAAGTTAGAAGACTCTCATGATAGAGAGTGCCTGGAACATGGTAGATGTAGCATTAAAATAAAATAAAGTTGAATGAGTGACCAAATAAATGAATTAATGAAGCAGTGGATAAATGAGTATTGGACACATAGCAGAAACACATCTTTCTCTCCAGTGGGTGACTAGGGAAGTCTTCCTAAAGGGGGAAAAAAAAATGTTTAAGCAGTGGCTTTAAGATGTTAGCCTGGAAAATAGGAAAAAGTGTGCTTGAAGCAGAGGGAAGCTTATGTGGGAAAGTCTGAAGGTGAAGGAGAACCCACTGGGTTCGAGGGACTACTAGAGGTTGAACAGATTGCAAAGGGAGAAGTGTTAGAGGCAGCTTGAGATGTGGGAGGGAGCCAGGATGTGCAGAGTATTATAAATCCTCCTTTTGGGGGTTGAAATGACTTAAAGGGCCCAGAGTTTCAGAAATGAGCCCAGTGTCTATAACAGTAATGAAATGAACTTCAAGGCTGTAATGAATTGACTACAGTGTTACAGTCTCCTGCTGATTCTTTTACATTATTTATTAGGATGAACACATTCTCCTGGTAAAAATCAGAATGTAAAGATGATATAATATTTTCAAGCTAAATATACAGAAAACAAGTTCTGTTCTAGTGGAATTTTGTTAAATGGAGTACACTGCAAAAAATTCTAACCCCAAAGACAGTAAGACCAGGCTGTAAAAATAAAGTCAATACTTTTATTTAAAGAATTGGTAAAGAATGCAAGAATAAAAGAAAAAACTTGGGAAGAAACAAAGTGTTAAGAATTACCCCACATTTTCCCCCATCCTCTTTCTCAATATCAAACTATAACTATTATTAATAGCATTACTTTATGTCATTCAGAAGTATTGTGTAGTATGTTGGAAATAAAACGAAGTAAGAGAAACTGGCTTACATACCTTACATCAAGCTAGTACTTTTGTGGATTATTCAAACAATACAATAGGTGAAAATACCATACTTAATTATTTGACACAATATCTTACATTTTCTAAATGCCTTAAATAGTTTTATTTTCTGATGCTCTGCAGCTCAAAAAAGAAAGCAAACAGACTACAATTGTGATTGCAATTGTAAGAAGGAGTTGAGATGTGTAGACCAAATTTTTGAACGGTAAACTATCTGGGAATTATTCAACTTATAAATACTACCTTGGATATTATTTAAATGTAAATTTTACAGTAATGTATTTTTATTACTATACCGAGACATTAACTTATTGAATAACAGCAATGTATTCTTCCATAAATTCTTATTGGAAAGGGTTCCTTTCAGGTGTTGGGAAACTTCTAAAATTTGACAGAGTTAAAGTTTAGCCTTTATAGCATCTATACAAAAAAGGTTTAGCCTTTATAGCATCTATGAAAAAAAATTTTAAGCCACTCTAAGGCATAATTCCAGGGGTTTCTGAATTTTTCAGTGAATTGTTAACATTCACAGATGGGATAAAGGGGATGTGGCATTTTCCTCTCCTTTAAATTAGGCCTTTAAAAAAAAAAAAACACAAAAACATTGAAGTGCTTTCCTCTTTATTTCACATACTTATAATGTTTTTAAGTGGTTCTACTGGACTTAATAATGCACTGATTAACTCTTTCTTACAATTATTAATTATTACCGTCATAATTAATCTCTGGATTCAGGAAGAACTGTTCTAGCTCAGGGATACCCCCGCCTATTTTGTGCCTCAACTATAGCTTGAGCTACAGTTTGAGCTATAGAAAAACAGCCCCAACAGCAAGGCATGTTGTAGCTGAGGCAATAATTTAGAGTAGGCTAAAAGGTGGGTTTCTGATCCCAATTTAAATGACTGCTTTATAAATTTACATTTTCAAACACTGCTATTTGCATAGAAATCAATGATGCAAAATCACTAGGAAGAAAAATAGTTACTGGCAAAACTGACTTTAAGGTAGTTAATATTTTATTTTACTTTAAATGTTTCAACATTTAGACCGTGAACATGAGAATCTGACTACAGTGTACATTACTTTAACTTTCACATACTTTTTGATTACTTATGGCATATTTCAGCCATCAGTCAGTAACTGAATTTCTACTTAAATCTTATCCTGAATTGTTCCAAAGCCAAGTGGCTTCAGGAGATCTGAACCGTCAAATATGGAAAGCATCTGCCTGGGAAACGACTTGATCTGGCAGGACACAGGGCAGCCTCTACCCTCTGTCCTTCTGTGAATGCCTCCATTGTCAGGCGTGATCATGAGGATTTCGTGTGGGTGGAGCCTGAGGACACTGTAGACAAGGCAACCGCTTACCCTCATGGACCTGACGCCTAAAGGCAGTGGGTTTTTTTGAACACTATGTAGCAATTGCTGGTGCTTAAAAAACAAACTAACAAAGACTTTACATGTTAAGGACTGCATCAAAGCTTTAACCTATAAAAATAGTAGTTGATTAATTTTGGACCAAAACTGATATACTAAGACTTCTGCAATCTCATAGAATCTTAAACTCTTAGAACTGAAAAGTGGCTTCTGGTTCTAGTCTCTCATTTTGTAAATAAGGAAAGGGGGCCCCAGATAACTTAAAAGATGGAAAGAGTAATAGTGCTTATGTTAAGGGATGTAGAAATACGGGTGGTTATTTTTTTTCTTATTACCACTATGTCTCTCTAGCGGTGACAGTATTTTTATAATGACGAAAAGTATTATCTGAAGTGCATGAAGCAAATACAAGAATCCTTTTAAATCTGCCTTCTACCTTTTAGGCTGATTCTGCTGAGAAGCTTAGGGAATATGGGCTTTCCCATACCTGTAGCCATCCTGTGCTGGTGACAAGAACTAGGTCTTGCCCCCTTATAGCACCACCAAAACTACCTCCTATACCTCCGTGGAAACTCCTTCGTCAAAAAAAGGAAACTGTTATAACAGATGAAGCTCAAGGTATGAATAAATCTTATTAACATTTCTCTCTATGAAGTTCTAATAGTTTCATTTGTAATGAGATACATATCAAGGCAAACAACTCAACATTACAGTTAAAACCTTCATTTAATTTTATGTCCGAATTTTATGTCTTTAAAGGATTAATTCTGCACATCTCAGACGCCAAGCAGTTTGGTTTTCATGTCTAAACTGGCCAGATATGTAAAGGCCATTCTTTGGGTGATGGCATTGTGATTATAACTGTGATAAAAAAGTGGTTTGTAGTAAATAACATAGAAGGTTAAATAGCATATACCTTAGACCACTGGTGTGAATTTCTAACATGGGCATCATTCTACAGTGCCCTGTAGGACATAATCTTTGAATTGACTGATTTCTGTTTGAAACTCCTATAGGAATAGGACTTTTACCCTGGGCTGGTTCCTGTGTCAGTGTTGTCATGTAGCCACAGTGAATGGCAGTAGTGCTCAGAAATACACAGGTTCACACAGGTTGAGAATGGGGCAGGGAGACTGTTCCCACCTTGTTCTTATTCTCACCTTTTATTTCTAAATTCCTCATAATCCATGTCTAATTCTTCGCTCCTTCAATCATTTTCTCGACAAGTCTTCATTTTTACTCCTTTTTCCATGAGCACCACGTTTGAATGGAAGAGAGACCAAGATGGCGAGAGAAGAAATGAGCGAGACCATAAATGAAAAATCAGAAGGAGAGGGGATTAGAAAAGAAAAATAATTAAAAAATTATGGCTTAGAGGAATAACTTAATTTGTTTATATTAATTCAACATGAACATATGGCCTTTCCGTAGCTAGTTTATACTTGCGATTTTTAATGAAGGGTGATAGAGAATTGTGGTGCTATGGTCTACATATGTGTATGTGTGTATATATATTTCCCATTCCGAAAAGTTTAAATTATCTTTGTTCAAAAACAGCTTTTTTTCTTATCTTTTTTGTGTTCATTTCCTTGCTTTCGCATTTTCTTCCTTTGTCTTTTCCAATACCTCAGTATCTTCTAATTGTATCCATCCAGTAACAGGTCATCACATTCTAGAAGTTATTGCATTAGGGTTCACAGGCCTGTCCTTGAATGAACAATGAAGACAAAGCCATGATGAACATACCTAGTGCCAGTTTACCGAGAAGCATATAAATAAGCTTTAAGTGGTTGGGCTCATGAACCATGGCTTGTACCCTTATTGATGGTGCTTGCTGTGGCTTCTGCTACCAATTCAAGTGTTGCTGATCCTTCAGTGCAGGGGAGAGGAACCATATCTCAGTCGCAGGGTAATACGTAAGTCTCGTTGGTACTCAGGATCCTAAAACCGCATTAGCCACAGAGATTGGAGTATTCACCTGTTCCTTGCCTCCTACTTCCAACCATAATTTACACGTTTTTAAGATATAAATAACAACTGTTAACCATGTAATTTTCCTCACATTTGCTTTCTGCCTACGTTTAAACAACCAGTACAGCTGGTGGCAAAGATTTTCTAGCACAACATGTTTTATCCTGGCCAGAAAAGAACAAAGATTAAAGAAATACCTGGTTTAGATATACAGGAGAAATGGTCAGTTCATCTTTTTTTTTTATTAGACTTGTCTGCCTCTCTCCCTCCTGCTTGATTATTTCAGTTACTTCCTTACATTCCTTGAGTTTCTGCAACAGGCTGCTTGTGCCACCAAAGTGCCAACTGTTGCTTTGGATTCCAAGAACTTTCCAGTTTCCTCCCTCCCTCCTTCCCTTCCCTCCTTCCTTCCTATCTTCTTCTGTCTTTCCAACCAAAGATCAGCATTCACATGATGCTTGAAAGAAAATCTTTTACTACTGAATGCTATATTTTAGTTAAATGCATAGAGCCACACAACCGTTCTTCATTCAGAACATCAGGAATAGCTGAATGAAAGGAAAAATATTGAACATTCAGCTACTTCCTGATTTTGATATTGACTGTTGTGTAATTCTGTGTAATTTGATAGCTCCATTGTAAGCTGGGAAAGAAAACCTACGGATTGATGGGATTCCATAACCGCAGTGTCCTGCTTTGAGGCTCACCACATCATTGTCTTTCTTCTCTCTATTGGATTTAATATTTAAAGTGAAATTAAGAGGAAACAGAGAGAGAGAGAGAGAGAGAGATCAATATAGAGGTTATCACAGAACAAGCACAGAGAAGTCATGTGCACTGTGTCATAGTCTCACTTCTCTTCGTCCTGTGGTCATCCTTTCTACTGCTATAGGAACTTATTTAAAATAATTATACCTAATGTTTAATTTCAGTGTTCACCGTGTTAGTGCATGGGTTGTGTGCTATATCCATTGAGAATTTACATCTGTGTCAGCTTCAGATGTCTTTAGGAATACCCACAACATTTTTCTTGACTACTGCTTTCTTTTCTACTTATGACCTTTACTTTGTTACATTTTCTGTTCTTCCACTATCTCCATGTATTAGTCCACATTTTTTTCATGTCTTGAGCAATTGTGTTGTAGAGGTTAACTAAAAGAACACATTTTTAGCAAAAGACTTTTATAGAAAGTCTTTTGTGTATGTGAAATAGCAGCAAATGCCAAGTAATAACTCTAGAAGACATTGCTGACTTTCTCCCTTGAGACTTCATTGTTTCACGTTGTAAATCTGGAAAGCAACTGAGAAGTAGACTAAAGAAATCTCATATTGGTAGGATCTATAAAGTCCTTTTTAATACAAAACTTTATGTATCGTAGTACATTTCTATTTAACTCTATTGAAGTTTGCTGGGTAAATAGTTAATCTAATCAGTACTGCATTAAATGTCAAATTTTACATATAATCTTGGAAAATTTTAAAAAAGTACATCACACTACCTTTTTCTTTTTAGAATTAGTAGTAAAGAAGCCTGACCAGTTTCTTGAGATTTCAAGTCCATTTCTGAATTATAGAATGACTCCATTTACAATCCCAACAGAAACGTAAGTATAGAACATTCTTTCCCATGAATTCATCTTGTTAACAGATGAAGCATTTTGTGATTTGTGCAGTTAAAAATGTATCCCTTGGTGACAAATGTATGAAAGTTTGTGTCAATGCACTGATCATAGGAAAATAAAATTTTTAGGTACTATTTCACAGTAATAAACAGTTAAGATAAATTTTGAATTGGTCGAAATGAGGCCTAAATATGTCTGGCTTTACAGTTTTGGCTTCTGTTTCAGAACAACACAGTATTTTGTTATACTTTAAAAATTAGCACTGGGGAATGTTTCTGGTTATTACCTGATAATTAAATCACAAGATCAAATGATTGTCATAAAAACCTGGGAGATGAAGTCTGTCACTCTTAGAGGAGAAAAAAAGAGCTAACTAAATACAACAGCAAAGACAATGAAGAAGAAAAAGGAGGAAGGGGAGGAAGAATCCAAATTTACTAATATTTGAATGTGACAATAGGGGTAGAAATAAAAATTATCATCCTGGGTCTAACATTTTTAATGAGTTCACAGTGGTGAAAAGGAAGTCCACAGATAGCAATAATGAGAAGGAATAGTGGGTGATACGATTATTACCACTAAAAGTGTGGTGATTTGTTATGAAGCAACTGACAACTAACACATGAATATATACATAATCAAGGATTATCAAAACTATTCTTTAAATTTGTGCAGTTAAATGTACTTCAATAATCCCTCAAAGTTGTAAAATATAAAAATAAATACTAGTATTTAAAATGGTTAAAAAAAATAGGGATTCTAGAACCAAGGAATGTAATGACTGAAATTTTAGAATTCAGTGGATGTGTTTAATCACAGATAAGATACAGCAAAAAAAAGACAATTAGCAAAGTGGAAAATAGGTCAAAAGATAATATCCAGACTGAAGTATGGTGACCAAAAAAAAAAAAATGAGGAAAAGTATAATAAAAGACATGTAAGAAAAGTTGAAAAAAACCAACATACTTGCAAGTGGGTCTCAGAAGTAGAGGAGAGTTTGGGGATAATCATGAAATAAAAATATAATGGCCAAAATTATCCCAAAAGTTAAGAAAAATCAAGTCAAGATTCAGCAAGTTCTGAAAAAAAGTCAAGTAATGTAAATGCGGAGAAAACTGCAGCTAGATAATCATAGTAAAACCATAGACAAACATAATACAATAATATATAGATATAAAGCAAAAGAAATACTGCAAAAAAATCAGCATGGATAAATGTCACACACAAACATATTAGACCAAAGAAATCTGGTATAAAAAGTATATAGTTTAATTATTCTATTAATATAGATTTTAAAAAGAAAAGAAAAAGCAACATATGGTGTTGGAAGTCTTGATAGTAGTTACCTGTGGCGAGGAGTGCTAGCTGTGATTGGGAAGCACGTCTGGCAGGGTTTGTGGAGTGCTGGTAATATTAGTATCTCTTGATCTGAATCTGAATATCTCTTGATCTGATATGGCCATATTTACTTGGTGATTTTTCAGCAAGTTTTACATTTATGATGTGTGTACTTTTTTGAATTTTTTTTAAACTTTACTAGAACATCATTAAAATTTTTGAATGGCTTATAGGTCACAAATATAATGACAATTAGATGTGTTTCATCCTCCTCTTGGATATATTAAAATCCACGATAAGAATATAAGCTGATGGGGCTTCCCTGGTGGTGCAGTGGTTGAGAATCTGCCTGCTAATGCAGGGGACACGGGTTCGAGCCTGGTCTGGGAGGATACCACATGCCGCGGAGCAACTAGGCCCGTGAGCCACAACTGCTTAGCCTGCGCGTCTGGAGCCTGTGCTTCGCAGCAAGAAAGGCTGCAATAGTGAGAGGCCCACGCACCACGATGAAGAGTGGCCCCCGCTTGCCACAACTAGAGAAAGCCCTCGCACAGAAACGAAGACCCAACACAGCAAAAATAAATAAATTAATTAATAAACTCCTACCCACAACATCTTAAAAAAAAAAAAAAGAATATAAGCTGATGAATAAAAGCAATCAAAATTTAGATCAGAATTCTGTTCATTGTACTGTCCTACTTTTAGAGCTTCTTTACATCATATCCTGTTAATTTAAATTTTATGGACTCTAGTTAAGTTGAAAATATTAGAAACATTATTCAAATGTTTTAACTTAAGGCTCCTGCAGTTCTATGCATCAACGATTAAACACTGAAAAGTGGGTGAAGAGGGACCCCCTAGGCAGCACTGGTAGACAAACACGGCATTTAGCCATGTCAAGCTTTATAAACAGAAGAAACAATTTGCTGCTTCTTTGGTTTTAAAAATTTGTTCTGTTATGTATTTGCAAATCTAGTTTTCCTCAAACTTTCATTTTAACTTATAAAAAATCTTATTTTATACATAAATTATTAATTTCTATAAAAGTTTTAAATAAATTTAGTTAGCTGAATTTAAACATTTTAAATTGCATTTACAACCGTACTATATATTATTTTTGCTTTAAGTAATTCTTGAAAAGCCAAAAATCATCATAAATAAAATCTTGCCAATTATATAAATCATCATTAAAAGTTCAAATAATCAAAATGTTTTTTGGTAACCTTGGTTTTTCCTATGTACACTACTGGTTTTTACAAACCAAAATTTTCTTATACCTATAACTTAATTATAAACCTAAAATTAAGTATAAAGCTACACATTGTATAGCCTAATTTGTTGGATTATGTAACATGCTACACTTCTTTCACCTGTTACAAATACAAAATACCACATAAAGACAGAATTTTCTTAAACTTAACATAAAAATACTAATGCTTTATACTTTTTCCAATTAATTTTATAGTTAGTGTTATCCACTAAGATGATGATTTTACCATATTCCAAATAACTTCTGATTATCTCTTAGCTTACTGAGATTGCATATTACTCAAATATTTTGCGGACTGTATGAACCAGAGCTGCATACCACCAGGACAAATTTTCTCAGGATTCAAACTGTCACACGCAGGCTTCTAGAATCCCTATGCCAAGAGAGACCACAAATGCGTTGGTTTCATAACCTGAACTTCCGACATTGACTCTCTTACTTAATTTTCGTATGCTTTCTTTCAGCGTTTTTACCTAATTAAGTTGCATGAAATTCTTTAACCCAGGTCTAGGTGACTTCAACACTTGATTGGATTCAATCAAGTGATTGGATTCAGTGAACTAATCTATCCACTGCTTGAACCTGTTATGAATTCCCTAGTATATCCATTTTATCTGGCAGAGCCCAGAGCAAAAATATGTGAATGGCATTTCCTTGCACCTGACTGCTGGACAGAGTTCTCAGGTCAGCATAAGAGCAAGCCGGTTTTTTGGCCAGCCTTGGAGAATGAGTGCTACACAATTGCCTTTCCTTGGAACACTGTCACTGTAGTAACAACATGCCCGGTTTGCCCAGTCCTGGCTCCTGGCCTTGTTTTAGAGAATCAGAGCCTCACAGATATGTTTGTGCTACCCTCTAGTGGCAGTTTCAGAGACACTTAGCTTGAGGTGAACCAAGTTTTACAGAACACGAGCAAGGAAAAATCCAAAAGTATGGGAAGTTCTGTATACATGAAATTTAATACTATCTTTGAAAGACCTAATATATTTGTACTATAACAAATATCTTTTTATTGTACCCATAAACTTCTAGCTGTGGCAACACTGATTTGGGGTCATGTCAGCAATAACTTGAAAGAAAATACTGTACGCTTGGGTAGCTAGTATAAATATCACAGTTGTAAACGTAAGGGCTCAACATGCATCATTAAATTTTTGACTCTAAGCCCTATTTCACTGCTACATTACTCTGATACTTAATTAAATCACTTCTAAATGCCAGGTTCCTATGTGTTCTGATCATCAACATTCAAAGATGGCCACCATAGCTTTAAAATAAATAGCGTTCCAGAAAAGTTTTACACCATTGCAGTGACTGATAGAGAATATTGCTCCAGTAGTATATATAGCAATTAAATATTTTTTAACATGAAGCAAAAGAAATTACTGGTTGTAAAGTAATGAGAATGATAAAATGAAAAAAATCAGAACTTCCTATTGTTGACCAAACATCACTATGCAACGGAATATTATTCAGCCATTCAAAAAGAAGGAAATCTTGCCATTTTTGTGACAACATAGATGGACCCTGAGGACATCTCAAGTGAAATAAGTCATACAGAGAAAGACAAATACCATATGATCCCACTTATACGTGGAATCTAAAAAAGACAGACAAGCAAACATACTCACAGATACAGAGTACAGGAGAACAGACTGATGACTGCCAGAGGCAAGGCATGGGGGTGGATGAAATGGGTGATGGGGGTCAAAAAGTACAAACTTCCAGTGGTAAAATAAGTAAGTCCTGGGGCTATAATGCGTAGCATGGTGACTATAGTGAATAATACTGGGTTGTATATTTGAAAGTTACTAAGAGAGTGGACGTTAAACGTTCTCATCACAAGGAAAAAAAATTGTAACTGTGTGTGGTGACCTACGTTAACTAGAATAGTGGTGATCATTTTGCCATATATACAAATATTGACTCATTATGTTGTATACCTGAAACTAATATAATTTTATATGTCAAGTATATCTCAGTAAAAGCTGCAGTTATTTATTAGTAGCTTTAAACAAGAGATTAAGATAACAGAAGTTTTTTTCTTTTTTTTCCATTAGTCATTTTGTACGAACTTTGATTAAGAAAGGGGTGCTTCCAGGATCTGGTTTATCTTCCCTTACTGAAAATGATGAAACTACAACCGTTAGCCAGACAGACTTAAGTCAATTGACAAGAACTATGTCTCAGGTAACTATGTTACTCTTATTATTAGCCTGATTCTTAACTATAAAAAATTTTTTTCTTAAATTGTGAAATATATTATACATAAATGCATTTGAGCAGAATAAAGAATACTGAAACTAAACTTCTTACATACCCATCTTCTAGATTAGAAAGTGGAATATTCACCTCTCATAGATGTCTCCTGTGTTCTCTTTTTTTTGGGAGTGTGCACTGCATGGCATGTGGGATCTTAGTTCCCCAACCAGGGATTGAACCCGTGCCCCCTGCAGTGGAAGCACAGTCTTAAACACTGGACCACCAGGGAAGTTCCACATGTGTCTCTTCTGAATTGTATCTCCTATCTGCCATACAAGGTCTGGTATTTGTCAACTGCACGCTCTTCTAATTTTGTCAGTTATGTACACGTTTATGAACAATATATAGCTTGGTTTCATTGTCATCCTCATTTTATTTTTGTGGGCTCTTGTATTAATTCTTCTGGGATTTCTTAATGTTGCTTATGAGATTTGTCTCTTTTGCCACATGTTACAGTTCATTTATTTCACTGGCCAAAGGTATTTAATACATAACTAGTCTACCATTTAAAAACATCTTTCACAGTGTTAATGGCTACATTCATTGCTTTTTGTTTCTTGCTATTGCAAGCAGTGGTACCATGACTCATCTTGACTGTCCCTGTACACACACGCAAGAGTTTCTGTAGTTCCAGGGTTTGTGAACTTTTATGTGTTATGTCTCCCTTTGTCAATTTTCTAAAACACATGATGAATACAATTTATCTCTTTCTGCATATGAGCTGAGTATTGGCAACAGGGAACAGTGGAAAGCGGAACAGCTGTCTGGGTTAGCACCGTGTGAACATACAACTTCACGATTTGGTGGTTGAAGGTATACTAAAGGATAGCTCCCAGATAGTTGGGCAGTTCAGGTTACAAGAGTGTCTGTAGACAGGAAGATGTGACCACACGGAATCTGACAATGGGCCTAATAACTGCTGTAACTTCAAGCATATGTGACATTTTGGATTTTGCAACAACTCTAATATAATGTAAAATATTGTGATTTTTTTCATGGATAAAGTCACAGTTATTGCCAATAACACTGTAGCTACTCACCTGCATTGATAAATTGAAAACTGAAGAAAACTGAATGCTGAACTTCAGCTAAAGATGAAAATAATCTTTCAAGCAGCCATGTTCATGGATTCCTAAAATCTAACCATGGGCCCCAGTGGATACTAGCCTAGGAAGCTCCGTTCTAGGATATGAATCTGGGAGCATCACTGATGGGTAATAGGACATTCACCTTTTAACCTTACAATAAAATGCACTGGATGAGAATTTTCTCTGCACCACATTCTGGCCAACCCATATATTGTCTGATGTTTCAACTTCTGTCAGTGTGGTAGGTGGGAAAGGGTTTTAATGCATAATATATTTGCATGTTCAAAAATAAAATTATAAGGCACACATCAAGAATTCTTGTTTCCATGTAAGTACTTCTCCCACTTTCACTGCTTTGCCCTCTGTAGGACACTTTCAGGGTGTCTTTATGTAAATATAAAGAAACACACAATATTCCACCTTTTTCTACTCAAAACTTAATGAAATTTGTTAAAGTTTTTACTTAGTAAATACTGGAGATAATTTCACTATGCCTAAAGAGCGTCTTTATTCTTAAAGTCACATACTCTTTCATTATGTGAATGAACCATAGTTGATTTCTACCAACCTCTATAAATGGTATAAGATACATTGGAGGGCAGAGAATCACATGCAGGTAAACACATTTTTTAGAATTAGTTGAAAAGGAGAGACTAACAGATGAGAAATCTTGCAAGAAGAATGAATAGACTTAAACATTGTTAAACTTTTTTCTTAATTTCAAAGTATTGTATGCAATAGTTTTAAAGAGTCAAAAGTTACCAAAAAGATAATCATAAAATAACCAACCTGTATTACCCCTCCTCATTCTTTAGCCTTCCTCCCCAGAGTCAGTCACTTTTATTTAAGCGTTTCTTCTGCTATGTGTCTCCATATTTCTAAGTAGCAGAGGCTTTATGAAGGCAGAGATCTTGATCTTTTATCATATACTGTTTCTCCCTCAGCACCTGCAAAGATGCCTAGCACATGACAGACACTGTTACGTATTTGTTGAATGGCTGAATTCCGTTCTTTCTCCATCTATCAATGAAACATTATCTCTCGACCTCTTGCTATAGAAGATAAGGATTTAGCACTCCTGTATTCGCTTACCATCCCATACCTCCACTTTCCTCTGTCTTCAAGATTTTTTCATTTCACAAGTTTTTGTCCAATCAGTACTCTAGCTGTGAGGCTGGATACCAGAGCAGACCCCGTTGAGATTTCGTGAGCTGTTACGTAATGCTTCTCACCTAATAGGGATGAAACTGTTGGGGAAGCTAAGAGTTCTACGAGCCGTAAGAGCTGGAGCCCTAACGGTGGAAATGAAGGGCTCTGCATTGTGGCTTGATTGGCAGGATCTCTGACTGAGATGCCACTGCCTCCTGGGAGTCTCAGTGCCCCCTGTATATTTCCCAGGCCTCTCACAGGTCTGGCTCCTGGCTCGTAACTGGGACTGGCTGCATAACTTGTGGAATGAAAATGCAGGGCCCCTTGTTCAACAGTTATTAAGAATGTCAAGACAGTGACAGCAGAGCATTAAAACAAACACAGGGCCCTTCTGAGCCCAGCGCCCTGAGTGATCACACACTCATGAAGCCGGCCCTGCTCTTGATCTTGCCTTCGACACACAATCTGGCTGATAGACCGCAGGCATTAGTGACGTGTGCCATTTCAGGCCGAAGCACTTAATGAGTCTGCACGTGGCTTTGCAGCTCTCTGCTTCTCCCACAACCATCAGGAAACTGCATATCCCGGTGGCAAGGCTACAAGATACAAGTTTCTAGATCCCTACATCACAACTGGGAAAGGAATCCCTTGAAAAGGAGCCCCCCAAAATAGGCTGACAGAGAAGTTAACCCTATGTGTTAAGCCATTGAAATTTCAGGATTGGTTTGTTATCTCAGACTAGCCCAGCCTAATATAGTTCATGTTTTTAAACAGCAAAATTACCCTACCTTTGCCCTTAAGATAGATACAAATATTAGGGACAATAGGCCTGTTTTCAGACCTTCCTTAGGAATTAATATTTAGTGCAAGTCAGGCATTAATTATTTACCTGTTTCCGTTTCCACCTTCATCATTACTTCAAGCTGTAATAGAAAGATGGTAATAAAGAAAAGTATTCTTCCGTTAAAAAATATTCTAGCTGTGGAAGGATTTTTATTGGAGAGACAAATTTCTTTTCTTACACAACTTTTTGTACAAACCAATTACTTCATTTTTTTTCTATGACACATTAGGAAGCCTTCCCAAACACTCTTTTTTAAGAAAAAGGAACACCATTGAACAAATACCTTTAAACCCCATTTACCACACAAACACATCAGATTACCAATGCCACCTGTTTTCCTGCAGATATCACCCTCTGGAATCCTTTGCTCTCTTGCTCTTGTTCCAGCTGATGGAAACTTGCACCTGTCATCATTGGACTTTCTTTTCTCTCTCTCCTCTGATGGATTTTCTAATTCTTGGAAACGATGCTCTCCTGCTACTTGATACCCTCATTTAGGTGGTGCACATCTTCTAGTACTCCCTGAGAAAAACTGCGTGGGAAGTGAAAATGATGAGGGGTTCGTATGCCTGCAGATGTCTGTATTCCACCCCCTCCCCTGGTTTATATTTTGGCGTGTTGTAGGATTACAGTGTAGATGTTCTTTCTTTCAGAATTTTAACTCTGTTCCTTAACTTTTGTCTTTTACCTTCAACCATTGCTCTTAAGAATACAGATAACATTTTGATTCTTGATCTGTTCTGTATGACTCTTGTTTTTCCCCTCTGGGAATGTTTTAAGACATTCCTTCCATTCTTGAAATAAGAAAAATTTACAGTGATTGGCCACGTAAATGAGTCTGTTTACATGAACTGTGCTAGGTACTCCATGAGCCCGTTCAACCTGGATACTCAAGTTTTTCAGTTCTGCAGAATTTTCTTATACTTTTTCCACAAGAATTTCCTTTTCTGAGAACAGTAATATTGAATACATTCACATTGCTGTGCCACTAACCTCCAGAAATCATTTCATCTTACAAAACTAAAACTTTATACCCATTAAATCATTCTGCATTCCTGCCCCTTTTCAGCCCCTTAAAACCACCATTCTACTTTTTGTCTCTAGGATTCTGATTACTCTAGGTACTTCATATAAGTGAAATCATACAGTATTTGTATTTTTGTGGCTGGCTTACTTCACTTAGTAAAATGTCCTCATCCATGTTCATGTGTCCATGTTCATCCATGTTGTACCATGTGTCATAATTTCTTTCCTTTAAGGCTGAATAATATTCCATTGTGCATATACATATACCACCTTTTGTTTATCCATACATCCATCAATGGATACTTGGTGAATAATGCTGCTATGAACATGCGTGTATAAATGTTTCTTTGAGATGCTGCCTTCAGTTCTTTTGGGTATATACTCAGATGTGGAATTGTTGGATCATACGTTAATTCTATTTTTAGCTTTTTCAGGAACCACCATACTGTTTTCCATAGCAACTGCACCATTTTATATTCCCACAGAAAGTACAAAAAGGTTCCAATTTCTCTACATCCTCACCACATAACAGTAACAATAACACTTGTCATTTTCTGTTTTTTTTTTCTTTTTTCTTTAACAGTAGTCATCCCAGTGGCTGTGAGAGGGTGGTATCTCATTGCAGTTTTGATCTGTATTCCCCTAAGGATGAGTGATGTGGAGGACGTTTTCCATGTGCTTGTTGGCCATTTGTATATTTTCTTTGGACAAATGTCTATTCAAGTCCTTTACCCATTTTTAAATTGGGTTTGTTTATTTTATATTGTTTTTGTAGAAGTTCTTCATATATTCTTGATGTTAACCCTTTACTAGACATATGAGTTGCAAATAATTTCTCTCACTCCATAGGTTGCATTTTCACTCTGTTGATTATGTCCTTTGAATGACAGAAGATTATTTATGTAGCCCTATTTATTTTTACTTTTGCGGTCTGTGTTTTTATTGTCATATCTAAGAAACCAATGTCAAATCCAATGTTGTGAAGATTTTTACCTATGTTTTCTTTGAAAAGTTTTTTAGTTTTCTTCTCTGAGTCTTTTGTATCAACTTTACATCCAAACTTTCTATTGAATTTATTTCACTTTCCTATTTTTAGTTTCCAAGAACTGTCTCTTGTTCTTTATTGTATTTTTATAGTTTATTTGATAAATGAATATCTTCTTAACTTTCTGATATTACTAACTTAAAAATTTCTCCCTATATTATCATTTCTGATTCCTGTGACTCTCCCTACCCACACCCATTAGTTTATTTCTTTTATATGAGACTCTTTCCTCAATTATCTAGCAATTCTTTGTTGTACACATATATTTAAGGAATTTATGAAATTAAAGAGCTGCTGATTAGAAGAAGCTTTATGGCATGGATAGAGCTTGTCAACTGGAAGCTTTAATTTGAGATAATTGGGGGTAAATGAGCCTCATTTGGGGTGGGACTAGCTCCAAATATCAGATTCCCTGAGGATTTTCCCTGGCTCTGTTCAGTGTCTCAGGTTAAGGGTCCTCTAATCTCCCTGCTGGGGTGGAATGTGGTCATAAGGATTGTTATATCCTTACCCACCAGAGTTATTAAAGCTGAGCAGCACAGGGTTCCTGAGAGTCTCAAAGTTCAGCATGTGGATGTTCACTTAATTCCTCTCCTCTCTGTGTAGTAAACTTTCTTGCTTCCCACAGTATCCATGAACCCAGATCTGGAGACTTTTCATTTAATTTCTCTACTTGAAGCAACTTCCAGTGTCCTATTTAAGCAGAAGAAGGATAGATGCTAAACCAGAAGGGATTAGGGAGAAGTGGGGATTTGTCTGTTCCTTATATAGACATTCAACCCATCCCTGTATTTCAACCTGTATCTCATTCTGTCCTTCCCAGTGCCCGCTAATTGTTTCTGGGGTCCTAAGGTGTGGAAGGGCTTGCTTCTCACCAGCACTTAGTATTCAGTTTTGTCTACTCTGTTGTCTTCTCCATACACTTTACATCATCCAAAATATCACCCATCAGTCTGTATAAATTTATACCATTTTATCTTTTATACTTATTTTAATTGTGTCCCAGAGATAACAGAGTTATACATGTGAAGCTTATTTTCCCTGTTAAAAATCTGAGAAAACATTTTTATAATTTGAAATAATCCTTAGGTTCCATACACTAATTATCAATCATAATCTCATTTTACTCAATCTGTATTAATTGTAGGTGCCTCATACCAACTAGTATATCTACTCGGGGATATTACTGTGTTTATTTAACTTTTATTATAAGATTCAAAGGTTTAATACACTCATGTCACAAACTTAAACTCTCAGCCAAATTCTGTATTTTAATGTCACAAACTTAAACTCTCAGCCAAATTCATATCTTTTGAATTTTAAGGTTAAAAACAAATTTCGTTTTCCTGTAGGTTTTAGTAAGTATTTGTAGAAATCTATTTCTTCAGTGTTTAAAAGACTGTATTAACTCTTTTAAAAACTGTGGTGCTTTAGAGAGCTGTAATGTTTTGTCGAATTTATAAATGGTTTCTTAGCGTGTTCCTTTCATCTCACAGGGTAATGCTGCTTCACAAGCTATACTCAGAAAAGGTAAATTAATAATCTTCTCGTGACTTTTTTTCACAGACATCAAAGCACAAAGGGGTCTCTGCTTCTTGACAGCTTTTTGCTCTCCCTCCTCCTGGCTCTCAGCAGCCTCCCTCCAGTGCTTCCTCTGATGTGTTGAGTCTAATCTGCTCTGGGCTAGAAAAATCAGATAATCTCACTTGTTAAATTCAAGCTTAAAGTCAAAATAAAAGACTATCTGATTAAAGTCCCATGAGTAAAGTTCTTGTGTCTTAATGCATGCATGTTATGATCAAAGCACTGAAACCACTGCAAATTCCTCAGATCCTAAATAAAGACTTGACCAAGGCTAAAATCCAAAAAAGTGTTATGTGGCGTGTGTGTCTATGACATTTTGGTTCAAGAAAAGTGTATGAGAACTTCATGCCATTTCTTGATAAACATAAAATAAGATTACGGAATCACTGACTGCAGGGCTTACAGAAATACATCAATCACGATAGATCTTTCAAGTTTTTGCTTCTCCTTCTGTTGTCTGCGTCAGCCCCTCTTACATGAATATGTCTGTTTACAGCAGATTTTAAATACATAAACCAGCTAACTTCTGTTATAACTTTAATCTCTAAAGAATGTGTGCACAAATTTATGAAAGTGATTTCAAAATTTCTGGACACCCTGCATGTAAGTTATGATTAAATTCTCCTGAGGGTATGAAAATGGGTCTTTGTATGGACCTCTACAAATTTGAGGCCTGCATGTGAATTATTATCTCAGTAAATATTTTCTCAAAAATAGATTTTGATATGTGAGCTCTCCTCTACAATTTTTCATATCTTAATAATTTAATATTTAACAATTAGGTATGTTTGACATGGTTGTCTTCTGCTGTACACAGATGAACTACCAGACTATGGATTGAATGATGCAGCCCATCCAGCTGAAGGAATCAGTCTGGAAAGAGATTTGGTCAGCCAGACAACAGCAACACAGGAAAAATCGAAGGAGGAACTTGCAACAGTAAATAATTGTGTTTCTAAAGAAATATGGTTAGATTTTGAAGACTTCTGTGTATGCTTTCAGTAAGTATAAATTTTTGTGTGCATTTACTACAGTGGGTATATAAGCTATTCATTTTTAGCTTTCATTTAAAAGAGTTAAGCCAATATTAGTCTGGTGTTGATATAATATCAAACAAAACTATTAGAAGGTTATTTACGATAGCCAGGTCATGGAAGCAACCTAAATGCCCATCGACAGACAAATGGATAAAGAAGATGTGGTACATATATACAATGGAGTATTACTCAGCCATAAAAAGGAACAAAATTGGGTCATTTGTCGAGATGTGGATGGACCTAGAGACTGTCATACAGAGTGAAGTAAGTCAGAAAGAGAAACACAAATATCATATATTAATGCATATATGTGGAATCTAGAAAAATGGTACAGATGAACTGGTTTGCAAGACAGAAATAGAGACACAGATGTAGAGAACAAACGTATGGACACCAAGGGGGGATAGTGGTGGGGTGGGGGGATGAATTGGGAGATTGGGATTGACATATATACACTAATATGTATAAAATAGATAACTAATAAGAAAAAAAAATATTAGAAGGAAATATGGATGAGTTGATTGTCCACATGAAACATGAATAGCCAAACCAGTCTCAGGCCAGTTTCAGCTTATCCTCAAAGACTTATTTGTTTATTAAGATGAAGGCAGTTTATCCACTGAAGGAGACCATTTTTGTCCCTTTCAGACAACTAATTCAATACAGTTATTATTTTTTCTCAGCTTTATTGAGATGCAATTGACAAATAAAATTGTAAGTATTTAAAGTATACATGGTGATGAATTGATACACATATATATTGTGAAAGATCCCCCCCATCAAGTTAACTAACATATCTATCAACTCATATATTTATTTTTTTATTGTGTGTGAGAACATTTACGTTCTATTCTCTTAGCAAATTTTAATTATACAATATAGTGTTATCAATGATAGTTTCCATGTTATACATTAGATCTTCAGACCTTATTCATCTTATAACTGAAAGTCTGTGCCCTTTTTACCAATCTCTCCCTATTTTCCTCACCTCCAGTCCCTGGCAACCACTTTTTTCCTTTCTGAGTTGTTATTATTTTTTTAACTTTCATCTGTCTCTACCTGTTTTGCCTATAATTATTTGCTTCTGAGAAACTTAGCATGTAGTACTGTTTTGTTGCATATGATGACAATAACCTGTTATAAATAATGTTTTTCAGGAATATATATATTTTCCACAAGCCAAGTTCATATTGCCTTAACTTTCAAAAATCAGAATTCAAGGTAAATAGATTATGATCTCTTTTCTTTCCCTTCTTAAGTTTTTAATGGAATCATGCTAGTGAAAAACACTTTCAAATTTATCAAGCATTTCTAAACTTCTAACATAATTATATTTAAAAATTTAAGGGACTTCCCTGGTGGTCCAGTGGTTAAGACTTCTCTTTCCAATGCAGGGGGTGCGGGTTTGATCCCTGGTTGGGCAGCTAAGATCCCACATACCTTGCGGCCAAAAAAACAAAACAGAAGCAATATTGTAACAAATTCAATAAAGACTTTAAAAAATGGTCCACGTCAAAAAAAAAATCTTAAATAAAAAATATTTAATTCTTAGGGTCTTCTACTAATCTCTGATATAGACAATAAGCAAAATTCTTCTACCTCATATCCCCAAGTGTGATCCATCTGATTGTGTTGCACTGGTTCAATGCTGAGCTGATTATATAAATTCACATAAAGGAAGTTTTGACTTATGAATAAATGAAGGAAAAGCACAAGTAAATTCACTACATTTGATTTCAATTAGTGTTTACTGACTTGTGCACAATTCCTAAAATATAAGCACATTTTCACTAACATTTCTGTTATTTTTGCCCACGTTCTTCCCTCTGTCTGGAGTTCATTCTTCTTCATCCTTATTGTCTTCATCTGGCTAACACCTAGAAGTCCTTCAGAACAGCATGGATGTCCTTGACCCTGTGAGACCTCCTTCCCTGCCTGTAGACTCTGGGTCAAGTACCCTGACTCCATGCACTCTGTATGACTGTCCCCACCCAGACACTAACTGCATGGTCACTTCTCTGTGCCCCTCTACCTACCCACCCACCTTCTGTCAGCATCTTAAGGACAACTCTGTCCTTTTCTTTACTTTTGAAGTACAGGTCCTGGTATGAGGTAGGAGATTGGTAAAAAAAAAAAAAAAAAAAAAAAAAATTGTTGAATGAATTAACAAACAAATGTCACATTGAGTGGAATTTTGTGGAAAACTATGAAACATATCCTGGGAAACTAAATTGCGCTGAAACTTGCATGTCGCTTGTATGGGGCCCTGCAAGCCCCCAGCGATACTCCCCCGACATCTCCATGAGCTGCATGCAGAGCTGGAGGGGGAAGTAGGAGGCTTGGTGATGACTTCTCCCTTTGCACTTGTACTAGATGAAAATGCAGGCAGAGAAAACCGTTTGTGCATCCCTCAAGAGGTGCTCTGTAGCTGGTTGCCTGCTCTGAAAGTAAGAATCAGGTCTGTAGTAGTGACTGGGGTGGGGTTTGCAGGGGTGGCAGAATGGGTGACCAGGTTCTGAAGTCTATCTATAAAATCACCCAGAGGAATACTTTGATTTTACAAATTTTACAAAAAACAAAACAAAACAAAACAAGCCTGTTAATTGGGAATAGCAGAACCCAGAGTACAGTATGAGAATAATATACCGTTTACAGTTAACTTAGGAATGTTGTCATATTCAAAATATTGGCAATATTTAAATGATAGTCATTTATAGGTGCTGACTCTGTTCCTAGCCCTGACCTAGGTTCTTTATTACATCAACTCCACATAGCAAACTCAATGAAAGGACAATTATTATTATCAATTTTCAGGTTAGGAAACTGAGGCAGACCAAGTTTGGGTAAAATGCCCAAGATCACCAAATTAGTAAGTGGCGCAAGCATCACGAGAACTGCGTTTATCCGATGTAAAACCTGCGCCTTTCTCACTAGCACACCTTTGGAGGAAGCAGATGAGTGGCTCTGGAGCTAGACTGCCGGGTTTTGAATCTAGATTGCATCTGAGGTGGGACTCTGAGCAAGCTATTTAAGTTCTCTTTGCCTCAGTTTTCTTATTTATTCAATGGCAGTGACAGACCAACATCATAGAGTTGAGAAATAAATGAGAGAACATGTGTAAAACACTTAGAAGAATGCCTAATACTTAGTAAGTGAAAATAAATGCTGGCTGTCGTTGTTATTACTAAGAGCAGTTAGCATATGAGTTTTTGTTATACATCACCACCCTAATATATATGTGTATGTGTGTTCGGAAAATGGCCAACTGTTCTTTGTTCCGATCCTATTTTTATGAAGTGATGGTAAAAGGAGAATTTTATTTTCCTTTTAAAGTCCCAGCTTAGCAAAATAAAATGACGGCATCCATTATGAGTCCCTTCATTCCCCTGAATTTTTTTTTAACATCAGTGGTCTGAGAAAATGATGACTTTTTCTTAGAGGATGTTTTTGGTACCCAAACTTAATGGCCTTTAATCTGGATTGTTCGTGGTCTGAGGCCAGACAGTCCTGATGTTAGTGGCCACAGGCGCTACCAGCTGAGCTGGAGACACAGAGCCTGAGGCCTGTCTGCCGCACATCCCTTAGCTGTCCCCTGGGAGATGTCATGGGGGTTGGCAAGGGGCTCACAAAGGTGTCTGGTCCCTGCACCAGAGCAGAGCCCCTGAATGTGGCCTCGGGGGCCATCTCACCCTCAAATTCTCAGGCTCTTTAAAATGACAACAAATGATCTCTAGGCAGAATCCCCTCCTCAGCCACACAGGCTGTGCTGGCAAATGCAGGGCCCTTCATAGTTTTAGATAGTGTTTGAAACAACTGCCTCTATCACCAACATTTGGCAGCCAAAAGAAAACAAATGAAATAAAGTCTAATGCTAACTATTGGAAGACATTGAGCGAAGCGATCATCTTAATTAGTTACATTGTACCAAGCATTTCTAGAAATCTTGTTATATTTGATTAATAAGGATTTCTTTTTTCACAGTATTGCTAGAGATTTTTCTTTTGTATTGCAACTTGTGATTTAAATATTGTTGTTCAATAGTATAGAAAGCTTTTAAAGTATAATGACAAATTAACACATTTACAATATACCATCAGTCAAAATTATGCTGAAGCACTGGGAAACTGAAATGCAATAATAGCCCAATAATTGTGATCAGTACTGGAGTCAGGTAGATAGACAGACCTACTTTTGAATCTCAGCTTTTCTACTTGCAAGTACTGTGACCTTCGGCAATTTACTTACCCTCTCTGTGTTTCAGTTTCTCCGTCCATAATTATGGATATTAACGGTACCCACATAAGATGGATTAAAATCATATTCATGTAATCCTTATGTGGCTGTCCACTAAAGGACATTCCAGTTGTGCTCAGTGCTTTCTTGCATGCCCAAAACAAAAATCCAGTTTGGTTCATTAGCGTACAATGGGTATATTTCTGAAGATCTTGTAGAAAGAAGGAATAGAGGGTTTATATCAAAAACCACCAAGTAGCATACATTTCCATTCTCTGCCAAAGTTACTCCACGGACTGTTTGCTTATTAAGGACCTATCCTCTGAGTACTGCTCAGCTCTGGGCTCAATCTCTTCGTCTATTTGTCATTTCTGGAATAAGCATATCCCTTTTCTTTACTCACGGGGAAGAGCTTTGGCTCTCTCTGATATGGTGGCCAGTCTCACACAGGCCCTGCAGACCCAGCTTCCGTGGACTGCTGCCAACATTCACCGGTGTGATTTTCTCCCTATCATTAAACCTGTAAAGTACTTATCATGGTGTCTAGAACACAGTAAATTCTCTATAAATGTTAGATATTGTACTTTTAATAGAAGTGGAAAATACAGCATTAATAGGCTGATATGAAATACAATGATTGGTCTCATTTCTTGCAGTTCTCAGATGAACGTGTGTCCTACTATCTATTTGTGGACAGTCTAAAGCCCATTGAACTACTGATTTGCTTTTCTGCATTGGTACGCTGGGGAGAATCTGGAGGTAAGAAGGCTATGAGAAAATTACTGTCTGAGATCCCAACTCACTTTCTGTTCAGGGAAAATGTATAATGTGTGAAGGAACTTATTCCCTCTCCAGACCTCCTAAGATCTTCCTACTCCTCTGACATCAAGGATTATACTCACTCTTGCCACCTGTCCCTCTCTGTGTTGTGGTCTTATGGTCACCTCTTGAGCACACCTGGTCCCTCTGTTTTGCTTTCTACCTATACAAGTCATCATTCTTTTTTTTTTTTTAAGATTTTTTGATATGGACCATTTTTAAAGTCTGTATTGAATTTGTTACAATATTGCTTCTGTTTTATGTTTTGAGTTTTTGGCTGCAAGGCATGTGGGATCTTAGCTCCCCGACCAGGGGTGAAACCTGTATCCCCTGCACTGGAAGGCAGAGTCTTAACCACTGACTGCCAGGGAAGTCCCACATGTTATCATTCTTGATTCTTTCAAAATCTATTGAAAATCATGAACTCTTTCTTCTTTGATTTGACAATTCCAAAGATCTTTTCCTCCATCCCAACTTGGCCCCCTAATTTCATGGTTATATTTTAGACGTTATTATACCAATAACTGTATTATCCTAATCAAATTTCAAGTCCTCTGACCCCCACCCCTGAATCTCCAGTTCGCTCTCTCTAGAACTCCCACCCCTACAGGTCTTGGACTGAACTGGGACCTCCATCCCTCAACCTTACCACTTCTTCTGTGTCCACTCTCCCCACATCTTTATTTCTCTTATTCCCAACGTAGTTTCCATGGTCCATGATTGTATTTATATCCTCACATGTGCCCTCAACACAAGTGCTCTTCTTACCCTCTCATCTCACACTCCTGGCAAAATCCTAATATTGGTTGAAGGTATCTCTGTGCCTAACCTGGGGTTTCATCAGAACAGCTGAGTGTAACTGGAGAAAAAAAAAAAATCCTACTACCTAGCCCCACTTTAAATTGAGGACCACAAATCTCAAAGCAAAGCCCCTAAGCACTGCCAACATTTCCTGAGTTCATTCATTCTCCCAGCTCTCATTCTCATGAGTGACTATTTCAAACCTTCAAATCTCTCTCTCTCTCTCTGCCTTCAAATCTCCAACTCCCACTCTCATCCTTCCTCATTTTCAGCTGATGACCTTGCTGCTGTCTTCACTGAAGAGATAGAAGAAATTGGAAATGACCCACTCATCTTCTCATAATGAACTCTCCCAAGTTCTTGTCACCCTTCCCTCCTGTTCTAACAGATGGACTGTTCCTTCTCTTCTCTAAGGCCAGCTTCTTGCAAACACATGCACATATGCACAAAACAGCATTCTTTGTTTGGCTTATTTTACTAAAGCATTTATATTTAACTCAAATTAGCAGTACCTCACACTGTACAGGTACAAATATTTGCTGAATGCTTAGTATTGAATTTTTTGCCCACTCTGAGGGCACAGACTATGATTTTCCATCAGGATGTACCCAATGTTTTGAATGGTGTCAGATGTGCAGCAAGTGGACAATAAATATTTGTTGAATAAACTTTCCAGACTTCAGTGGTGTGAGCTTAGTATGTCCACTTCACCAGTAGCTCCTAAGCCACACCACGTCCTAGAACATTGAAACTCTAAATGCGTAGAGGTATTTCAGGTCATGTGGTGGCCTTGTATCCTTAGCTTGAGTGTTATCTGGAAACAGGGTAAGAAGTCTTTTGCTCTCAGCTACTGATGAAGAGTAGTCATTATTTTCTATCAATTTCAAGATAAAAAAATTATTAATTAAAGTTTAATTAGATAAAATTTTAAATTTATAAAAATTAAATAAAAGTTTTAATTAATTTAATTAAAATTTTGGTAATTATTTTTCTACACAGTCAAAGCTAAGGATCAAAGCTCAAAACTTAAATAAACAGTGGCATCTTTTGCCCTTGCTTTGCCACTATCTTAGGAAAATCTCTCATTTTCCCAGATGTGGTATTTTTCCTCCTTTAAAATTGTATCTAGTGGGATATTGTTATTACTGTCCTACATAAGAAAAGCAGTGGTACACTACAGTGAAATACCCCTATCTGTCCTCTTTTTCCTAACTTTGTCATTCTTGGTTTCTTCAGCTGAGGGGATGGCTATGAGGAGAAAAGTAGGCTAGGGAGGGAAGAAGGTCTTGATTCCTCTTGAGTATTATTTCCAGTAATTATTTACTCAGGTAGTTTCTAATGTTTTATGAACGTCTTCAGAATAGGTCTAATTCTTGGTTGTTGTTGTTAATATTATTGTTATTATCATATTATTAATGTCATTATTGGTAAAAAGCAATACCAGTGAAAGCCAACTATACTCTCACAGTCAAATTTCTGTATGTATATATATATATATATATGGTTTTTTTTTTCTTTTAAATTTTCCTAAAGCTTTAACAAAGAACAGCCCTCCCATACAGCCTGGACTACTTACAGTTGAGAGAGTTTCTTGGAAATCTCTGAGGCCACGTGATCTTGTTGTGACAATTCACACGTATGCTACCAAGGCTACAGTGGTTCGCCTGCCTGTTGGGTATGGAGTGACTTCATTTTTCCCATACTAAGAATTATTTGAAGACTTGTAAACTTTTGACTACTAAATAATGAAACAATATGGAATCTAATATGTTGCTTCCTGAAGCAATTTCATAAAGCAGAGGTCTATCATCATGATTCTTGAGAAAAATAATTCTGTGAACTAATAAAGTGAAGAAATGCTGTACCTTTTGGAAGATTCATAATTGTTAAAAGAATCTGGTTGTTTCTTTAGTAAAGAATACAGTTTAAACTTGTTTAACTCAGCATTTCCTAAAATTAATTTATTAAAAGATCTTTTTTGTTTTATTGTAAAATTCATTAAATTCCTTAATAAGAACCATGATTTTATTTAAAAACAGATTGAGAAACAGCATTTTCCCCTACAAATCTGTAGTTTTACCTGTAGTTTGTTTTTAATTTTACCTGTAGTTCTATTTTGAGTTAAGATAAAATTGGTTAAGCACATCACATTTTTCATTTTAAAGAAAATATGTATAATTGAAAAGTTTTCATGATTTTGATAAATAAAATTCAAAATATTACCTCATATTTCAGATGAAATAAATAATTTTGCTGAATTTCCCAAGATCAATCATGATAATTCTATGTGATCAACGAAAAGCTATGGCTCTTGTACAAAAGCAAAGCCCAAGCAACAAAATGAAATGCTAGGATAATCTGTGGCAAGCGTCCAATATTTCTAGAAAAATAATGAATTTTAAAACTTCTATATTTTCACATCTTCCCTAAAAACTCTGGTATGGAGAGATTCTCCCAGAAGTCATTATTCTGTCTGAGTGCTCATCCATCAGGACAACCAAGGATGGGGAACTGATAAAGAATCTAGTATTTTTATCTGCTTTTCCCCCGACAGAGCCTAAGCTATAGACAGGTGGGTTTTGGACATGCTCTCAGTATTCTCCCTGATGCCGCAACCTTGGTAGGAGAGACACAATTAACACACATGAAATTATGCATTTGTGAGAAACTGACTATGAAAGCTACAGAGCACTAGGCCAACATGAATTATTACTGTTGTTAGGGGGAAAATCCAGACGAGTGTTTCGCAATGTGTCTGCAGCTTATGGGAGATGTCTCCAACACGTGCAAGTTTGTCATTTACTGTAATCGTTTTTTGTCCAGCATAATCAGTGAGATATAGATTCCATGATCTCAGAGGGTTCTTTCAAAGTGAAAAATTCATCAGTCTTTACCTCATCTGTGTTACAAAATTCAGCCCTTAATAATGTTTGACTTATTTGAGCACGAAGTATCATCAAGAAGCTAACAGAGGCAAGGACTACAACAAAGGAAACCCTCGGTCCTCTCTCCTTAGGAGACACATGCTGCTGTTCACCGCATACTCCCCCGTGGGGCACTCCATACACATCTGCAGCATGGTGACCTTTGTCGTCGGGGATGAAGATGTCGTGCTACCCAACTTTGAACTGGTAAATCTTTGAGCAACTGTGATTTTTTTTGTGCCTTATTTTCAAAGATTTTGAACTAAATCATATTGCTATTTTGTTTTCAACTTACCGATTTTTTACTTTTTTTTTTTACATCTTTATTGGAGTATAATTGCTTTACAATGGTGTGTTAGTTTCTGCTTTATAACAAAGTGAATCAGTTATACATATACATATGTCCCCATCTCTCTTCCCTCTTGCATCTCCCTCCTTCCCACCCTCCCTATCCCACCCCTCTAGGTGGTCACAAAGCACCGAGCGGATCTCCCTGTGCTATGCGGCTGCTTCCCACTAGCTATATCACACCTTCTTTATCCATTCATCTGTTGATGGACACTTAGGTTGCTTGGCTATGGTAAACAGTGCTGCTATGAACCTTGGGGTGCATGTATCAAACTTAAATGCTCTTGCACAGCAAAGGAAACCATCAACAAAATGAAAAGACAACCTATGGAATGGGAGATAATATCTGCAAATGATGCGACTGCCAAGGGGTTAATTTCCAAAATATACAAACAGCTCATACAACTCAATGTCAAAAAAACAAACAACCCAATCAAAAAACGGGCAGAAGACCTAAATAGACATTTCTCTAAAGAAGACATACAGATGGCCAACAGGCACATAAAAAGATGCTCAACACTGCTAATTATTAGAGAAATGGAAGGCAAAACCACAATGAGGTATCACCTCACACCAGTCAGAATGGCCATCATCAAAAAGCTTACAAATAATAAATGCTGGAGAGGGTGTGGAGAAAAGGGAACCCTCCTACACTGTTGGTGGAAATGTAAATTGGTGCAGCCACTATGGAGAACAGTACGGAGGTTCCATAAAAAACTAAAAATAGAGCTACCATATGATCCAGCAATCCCACTCCTGGATATATACCCTGCACATTTATTCAAAAAGGCATGAAAAGACACGTGCACCCCGATGTTCATAGCAACACCATTTACAATAGCCAAGACATGGAAGCAGTTTGTTTCTTTCTTTAGGTGATTTAACTCCCTAGGTGTTTAGTTATTTTAGTCTGTGAACTCATATTTCCCTGGCATTACCAACTCCTCCATCTTATAAAAATTACCGGGGCTTACATCCAGGCCCCAGTATTCTTCAGTTCTAATGAAGAAGCAAAAGGGGACATAGACTGGCCCAAGAACAGAGAGACTCAAGCTCCTCAGAGCCATACATGATCATTCCCAAAACTACCATTTAACCAGACAACTTTTCTGGTCATGGTTTTATCTCAGGGAGAAACACCATTAAGAAGAGACTTTCCCTAGGCTTCGGGGAGGTTGGGAGAAGGTCAGCAAGAAGTAAATGTGTTAAGGTGGCAAGTCAGTTTCATCTGTTCTCAACAGTTTCTCACCCCATTTTCATACCATTCCTCAAAATTTCTGCAGGGAACCGTGGAGCAATGATTGCACCATGGTGCCCCTAGGAAAGAGGCAAAAACAGACTTTACAACGTTTTCCTCCTACTTGACCCTCGTCGTGCTTCCTTCAAGCACCCTCTGCTCTGAGTAAGTTCTCCACCAGCCACCAACTACCCACCACACACGAGTCAAGATAATCTGCAAACACCTCAGTGTTTTCTCCATTTAAAAGAATAAGTTCCTTCCTGACATCCCTATCTCCTTGTTTTTATCGCTTCTTCAGAGTTTATAGTAGAAGGGAGCCAGCAGCCCACGCTAGTTTACCCTCTTGTATTTTTTATTTTATTGCTCTCTCCCTGAACACTTCTCTGCCCTTCAGTCGTCAAACTCCACACAGCTGTCAGACTAATTCCTAGACACTCTTCAGAACAAAGGCTGGATATTCATACTGTGGGGAAATTTCCCCTGGCCCGCAAAGTGAGGTAGGTGTTGTTTCCATGCGTTCCTACTAGAGCAGGAATCATGTTCCTTGTTTTATATCCCTCAGACCATAGCACCTAGCAAAATGCTTTGATCAAGTAAGTCCTCCATAAATAACTATTGAGTCAGTCATATAACAGATGTTTAATATATTAACAGAAATTAAATTGTTATAAACCTAGTTACACCTAAATAAGCAAAAGGGGGGCTGACCGCTATGCTTTGTCTTCACAGGAGAGCTACCGATTTACAGAGCGGGCTTTAACAATTTTGAAAGCTGTTGGACATGGCATCGCTAATTTCGAAGATAAGGCTAAACTTTCTGCAGCCCTGAAGGATCTACAAACAGCTCACTACCCTATTCGCCTCCAGGATAAAAAACTAACTGCACAGCACTTCCGGGTAAGCGTGTTCAGGCTGTAATGTTCCCAGAAGAGTATGTTCTGTTTGTAATAATGTTTCACATATTCGATGACCCCCAAAATCAGCCGAGAAAATGTTCTGGATGAAGACAGTTTATTTGGGAAGTGACGTCAGCAAGCAGAAACGAGAGAGTAGGAAGAATGAAATGAGAAAGAGGAGAATATTCATGAAAGGATGTGGTAATTATTGCTGTGGGCTACTGGGGCTCAATGCTCCAGGGAATCCTGATAAACTGTGTAGGACATCCCTTAGAAAGGTCCCCCTAGAGGATGAGGCGATGGTAACGTTTATCCACTGATAGATGGGTGCTCTCAGGGGTATTTATTTCCTCACACTTTCTTGGGGTTGAGTAGCATCCTGGCTTTACTGAAAGCCTTGAGGGAGTGAAGCAAAACGACTTTGTGGTACCCCCTGTACACTACTGACATTTTGAGCCAGATGATTTTTGCTGTGGTCCTGACCTGTCAGTGGCAGCATGGCTTGCCTGCACCCTCTAAATACCAGTTGTGACAACTAAAAATGATTTCAGACATTGTCAAGGGTCCCCTGGGGAGCAGTGTTGCTAGAGTTGGAAATTAAAATACAGGACACCCCGTTAAAATTTGTTTTACTAAAGACTTAATTTTTAGAGTAGTTTCAGGTTCATTGCAAAATTGGGCAGAAGGTATGGAGATTTCCCATTTATCCCCTGATGCCACACGTGCCTTCCCCATTATTTATCAACACCCCCCATGAGTGGTACGTTTGTTACAATCGATGAACCTACATTGATACATCAATCACTCAAAGTCCACAGTTTACACTAGAGTTTACTCTTGGTGTACATTCTATGGGTCTGGACAAATGTATAATAACATGTATCCATCACTGTAGTATCATATATAATAGTTTCACTGCCCTAAAAATCCTGTGTGTTCTGCCTAGTCATCTCTCCCCTCCCCCAAGCCCTGGCACCCATTGATCTTTTTTATTGTCTCCATAGTTTTGCCTTTTCCAGAATGTCATAAAGTATGTAGTCTTTCCAAATTAGCTTCTTTGACTTAGAAATACACATTTAAGTTCCCTCCATGTCTTTTCATGACTTCATAGGTCACTTCATTTTCATGCTGAATAATATTCCATTGTCTGGATGTACCACGGTTTATTTATTTATTCACTTACTGAAAGACATCTTAGTTGCTTCCAAGTTTTGGCAATTATGAATGAAGTGGCTATAAACATCTGTGTGCAAGTTTTTATGAAGGCATATGTTTTCAGCTCATTTGGGTAAATACAAACGAGTGTAATTGCTGGATCATGTGATAAGAGTATGTTTAGTTTTATAAAAATTATCAAACTGTCTTCGAAAGTGGCTGTACCATTTTTCATTCCCACCAAAATGAATGAGAATTTCTGTTGCTCTATATCCTAGTCAGGATTTGATGTTGTCTTTGTTCCAGATTTGGGCCTTTCTAATAGGTGTGTAGTGGTATCTCATTTTAATTTGCATTTCCCTGATGACATACGATATGGAACATCTTTTGATATGCTTATTTGCCACCTGGATATCTTCTTTGGTGAGGTGTCTGTTAAAGTCTTTGGCCCATTTTTAATCAGGTTGTTTGTTTCCTTATCATTGAGTTTTAAGTATTCCTTTGCAGATATTTTCTCCCGGTCTATGACTTGTTTTCTCATTCTCTTGACATTTTCCTTACAGAGCAAAAGTTTTTAATTTTAGTGAAGTCGGCTTATCAATTCTTTCTCTCATGGGTCCTGGCTTGAGTGTTACATCCATAAAGCCATTGCCATACCCCGGTCATCTAGATTTTCTCCTATGTTATCTTCTAGGAATTTTATACTTTTGCGTTTTGCATTTCAGTCTACTGTCCATTTTGAGTTAACGTTTGTGAAGGGTGCAAGGTCTCTGTCTAGAGTCATTTCACCCAACTAAATTTTAATTTCATATAAACAAACAGTATGTGCAATATATAGCACATACTTATGTTAAAAATTACACTAAAAATTTATTTTCCCTGTTATTCCACTTTAACTGGGTATAAGGTGTTGTTGGGGATAGATAATTAAAAACAGAATCTCCTTCAAACCAGGAAGACCTCCACAAAGGTAGAAGAAACAGAAGATTGTTGAATAAGCGTTAAACCAGAATGTGATACCCGTCAAGGGCAATCTGCTAAAGAGATAGCAAAGAGCCAAAGAAACCTTACCCTTTTGTATAGCCCAGCAGATATTGCCCACTACCTACATGTTCTCAAGATAAATGATAATTAGTCCCTTAAGTAAAGGGATTTGATAGCACCATTTGTTACACATAGTGAATCCTAAATTCACCTGCTATTTGGAGTGACCATTTGCATTACCTAACTGGGTTTATCCAAAAGAAACAAACTTCTCATGCCTTTATGGCAGGAGGTATTTTTCCAAGTTGGTGGGAGCCTCCCACCAAGGTTAGGTTCCTCCCCTTCCACAGAAACTGGGGGATTGGGGTGCTATCTTCCTTGATGATTACATTTCAAAGAGATGACTTCCAGGTCCTTGAGAAAGATATTCCTGGATCTTAAAGCTGGCAAGATAGCTATTTAGCCTTTAAAAATATTTACATATATTTCAAAGAAGAAGAGAGAGAGAGAACTTAAAATTATAAGTTTTCTAAAGTGAATGCTCTAAGAAAAGGGAGGGGAAGAGTCTCTTCCCTTATTTTCCATAAGGAGAATTGTCTTGTTTTGTTTAAACTGGTATTTGCCCTTACAGTTTCTTGTATCTTATCTGTCAACCCTACCTGGGACACAAATCACTCCCAGTTGAAAACCACTCACCTCGGGCATGAGCAGTCTCCAAAGATCTGCCATGACTTACCTCTTTAACTAGTCTGATTGGTCCTTAAGTTAATTCTGTCCATCCAGTCCTCAAGGTGGTGGCTCTAGATGGCTCTTGGTGGTGGTCATAAGCTCTAAAAATAAATAAATAATCAAATTATCATATAACAAGAAAGCTGTAGTATCCACTGCTACAGCTGGCCCTAAGGCCAGAATTGGTAGTCAACATCTCTCCTCTACCACCTATTCTAGATTTCCCTTTCTTCCAGCCGCTCTAGTTGCTTGCCTGGTTGGTGCCCCAGACCTTCAATCTTGATGGGTACAGACCTTGATTGCCTTATTCTCATCAGGCTGAGATTGTTGTAATTAAGCATTCACTGTGGAAGCACCAAGAAGTGTCCCAGCAAATCCAGACATAATTCTTCTTGTCCCCATTATGTAGCAGAAACCTAGCCCCTCATGACAATGAGGATGAATTCTCCCACCACTCCATTATATTAGTTTCTTTTTTCCTGCTTGTCCACCAGGATGAGGATCTCAAAGCAACTAGGAATATATCAGAGTTTAGGTTTATTGTAAATCATACTGTGTTCCCTGGTGAAAATATTTCCTGCTATCCACCCCCAGGAATTAGGTCCTCCAGTACAGAAACTCCCTGTTGTGGGGACAGAGAACACTAACTATTGAAAGTGGATCACTGGAAATGATGGTGAGAGAGGCCACTCCTACTTCTAATTTTTGAACCTCAGGCCAGTATATTATAGCTATTACAGTCATAGTACTGTGTATTGATCTTTGGTTTTATACAAATATTCTGTATTCTGGAGGATACTGCCTCAGTTTTGCAGGATGTCATCACCAGGCTGGCTTCTTAGCTGAGCCTTTTATATGCCTTTCCAATCTGCCAGGAATTTTATCAATCCTTTCTATGGTATATGTTAGGACCAGTGAGTCTCAAACATTCCCCAGTGATTAAATGTTTACTGTATTACTTGATCCTTGGTCCAAGGGGAATGTTAGGCTGGATCCATGTCTCTGTAACCCCTAAGATAACAATGCTGGCAGAGGCACCAAATACAGGGAAGACAAACTCATATTTGAGGTAAGTCTCAATTCTAGTAAGGATGAATCACCGCCCACCCCTCCTTGACAGAAGTCCACTGATATCAACTTGTCATGAAGTAACTGACTGTACACCCCAGAGGACGATACCATATTAAATAATGAGTCAGTTTTTGTGACCGACAGTTGAGGCAGCTAAGCCTGGGTGAAAGAGAGCCCATACTGTTGGGCCCATTCATCGTCACCATCTCTGCTATGAAGATTACTTTTGTATAGGCCTTTTGGTGCTAGCCCAGATCTAATATGTAAGGGGTCTTTGTGCATGTATCACTTACACAAAAGGGAGCTATTTTGGTAATGAAACATCTCCATTTTATACTTGTATATTACACAGTTACATGACATTTTTCAGAGAGCCATGCTCCATAAATCGATTCCAAATTTGTCTACTGTAAACAATTCTAGACAGATGAGGTGCATCATACTATAAAGATCCCATACATAAGGACTCTCTCAGTAGTAAATAACATTTGTGCATCTGCTGGGAGGTGTTTCAGTGGTATGTTTACAACAGAATTGGACCATGTGATCTTTCTTTCTTGGGATGCTCAAGTTTCCTGCAGATGCCGCTCTTGCATTGGATCCCACTCAAAGCTGATGGTCTTCAGAGTCACTCAATGAATGCATTGAAATAATACTCCCCAAAGCAGAATATTCTACTACCCAAATGCAGAGAGGACCAGCAAGCACTGGCCTCTTTCTTAGTTATGTCTTAGCCTTTACCTTAGAGAGGATGTCCCAGCATGCCTAGCCTTCTGGACTCCTAAAATCTCCACCGATGTGGTAAGTCCATGAATCTCTGTAAGATTTATTCCCCACTCTCTAGCATGCATGTGTCTTAATGAAGGATTAAGAGTACTGGCCACTTACTGCCCACGGTTTTGAGTTCACTGTTGTCACCCATATTCACGTGTAGACCAGACTCAAGCACTACCAAATGTCAGTATCACCAAAGACTCTGAACACTAATTTGTAACAGAGGGTATGAGGATTAACATTCATGATTTTTTCAAAAAGATTTTACCTTAGGTGTTGAACTATTTAGGGCATTTTATTAGGCATGTCACGAGGACACATCTAGCTTATTTAAGCCACAACGAGGAGCTGGATGTGCTGATTTGTTATAACAATACAGGGACATCTTCTGGACACATAAGAACAGGAATGACTCAGTGAGGAACTTTGAAGAGGGAAAAGAAGGCCCTCAGAACTTGTCTTCTCCATTTTTTCTCTTTATAAACATGTTTTCTCTCCTCTTAAGTTCACATCATGGAAAACACGGCTCCTGAATTTTATATTGTTTTCTCATACAAGGCCAGTTTAGAATATCTTGATCCTGGTGTCAAATTACTGGCCAAAGCACAGGGAACTCAATACTCTGTAATGACTTATATGGGAAAAGAATCTAAAACAGAGTGGCCATATGTATATGTATAACTGATTCACTTTGCTGTACACCTGAAACTAATACAACATTGTAAATCAACTATACTCCAATAAAAATTAAAAAAAAAAAATATTGGCCGAAGTGACAAAGATTTGCTCAGCTTGGGTTAGATGCTTGCTCGCAGGCTTGTCCACCATTGCTAGCTGATGGGGCACGTACAGATACAGACTGTGGGACTAGGTCCCTGTTTCTATACATATGAAGAGAGGTGAGGAGTTGTCAGAAAATGTAGACTAAGCAGGAAATGCAATAGTCATATGCCTTTGCAGAGCACTGTATTTCACCAATTCTAAGACGAACATTGCTTTTCCCCTTTAATATCAGAATGAAATCAGAGTGTCTTGTCATTGGTGGTTCCTTACAATCATTGCTGGCCAGGTGACCTCCAGAATTCTCTGCACACACGTGGACATGGACTTGTTCATAAGAATTCATATCGTCTCCGTTTCAAAAGAAATATGTTTGACAAAAGCCTAATCCTTAGGGGAAGAGAATTAAATGGCATGGTAGAGCCTCTCGAAGAAATGTGAAGGGAAAGGGGTTCTCCTCACACCAGAATGACTCCCCCATGGCTCAGGAAAAGAGAGAGAGGGAGAGGTATGACTGGCTGAAAGTCACCACAAACAGTGCCCCAGGAGCGCTACCCAATTCACCAAGCACTCTACTCCCTGTGAACATGTAAATAGCTACAAGTAAGCAAGCAGAAATGTGCAGTGGCTGGTTGTTATTCCCAGTGGTATGACTGGATATATGGAATCCATCAGCATTTCAGGATAAAAGCCATGAAAAAAAAACGTGGAAGAAGGGATATGTGTTCTGGATGCGGTCTAAAAACCTTCCAGTGGTCCTCTTTGGTGAGATCAAGAACAACTCAGCATCAGAACTTCCTGAATGAGGGTTGGTGGCTTGAGAAAAACCCCAGGAAGAAAAGGAGAACACTCTTCAGGCAACGGTGCATTTTCAAAGCCTTTGACAACACGAAGGACAAAACTGCACAGAAAAACACACGTTTAAAAAAACAAACAAACAAACAAAACACACGTTTAGTGTTTACAAAAAGTGATTTACAAGAGTAGGAGTTTGAGTATGAATAAGTTTTCAGAATACTTAACCAATTTATGTAGTTTATTTTTTCATGTACGTTTAAGTGTGATACATGATGAAAAAGTTATGCCTAAATAAATTTAAAAGAGCTTTTTCAATAGGAAGTAAATACTCGTAAGTGACACGAAAGTGATTAAAAACTTTGAGTGGCATATTTTCTTTCTTGAAGCACAGGAACTAATAGTGTGTCTTATAATGGGTGGCATCTTGGGATAAAAGAAATCTGGTATTTAACTTGCTTAGGCATAAGAACCTTATTTTTTATCTTACACTGTATCTCCTCAATCCATTTAATGTTATATTTTAATTGAATGTACATTATAAACATTGTTGTGGTGATTAAAGCTTATTAAGTTAAAATTAGTCAAATGATAAATAATTTTCATCTTTTACCAGATGAGGGAGTCTGCAAAGAGTCTTCTGCTAGATGGTGTGTATATCTGAGAAATACATAGTTTTTATTTTTAGAGTATCTCAAGTTTTTTAGAGCCTCTCTGGCCAGGTAAGGGTATTTTCTTGATTTAAAAAATATACTAGTGCATTTTATCTTTTTCAGGTTTTTCATATTTCTTTATGGCATTTAATGAAAAAAGCTCAAATAGCAAAACCTCTTCCCAACCTCAAATTTGCATTCCGTGCTATGGTTTTGGACTTGGACTTACTTGATTCTTCTTTGGAAGAGGCTTCTTTAGGTACTGATTAATTTTAGATATTTATGTGACAAAGGAATTCCTAGCCTTATATGGACTAAATAATTTGAGAAAAGTATACTCAAAATTTTTGTGGAGTAGGTAGAATGGGTCTATATTAACAGTTGTAGAGTTCAGGCTATGCCCTGAGAAGCTCAAAAGGTTCCAAAGATCTGACGTGTGTCCCCTGTCCCACATACATCCAGGGCAGCCCAGAATTTCCCAGTTTTATTTGTTCCTGACCTTAAAGAGCATGACAATCACTATATATACAGTAGCACTGGAGTAATTCAGGGAAGATTCTCTGATCTAAGTAACCCTCATTTCCTCCTCTTCCGATGTTCTATTCCCACCATTTTAACATTTTCTTTCAATTTTAAAGAACCTTCATGCTACTTTCACACAGGAATCAACACTAGTTCACTAAAGTGTCAATATTTAGTGTTTCCCTTCTCCAGAATGTTTATATTCTAAAAAAGAACCACCTGCAGAAGGCAATGTTAAATATAACAACAAATCTATCGTTGTGGCACTTTATACATTAGAGGGCTTTAATAGTTAAAGGCAGTGAAAATTGGGGTAGAGATTAGATATAACTTTCAGTCCAAAGTTTGTTTTTCTCTTTCCAGCGGAATGCTTAGATGTTAAATGTAATGTGCCAATAAGTGACAAAGAGTATTCTCCTGAGGAAGTAGCAGCAGCAATTAAAATTCAAGCCATGTGGAGAGGGACGTACGTCAGATTACTTATGAAAGCTAGAACACCAGGTATACTCTTTCAATCATTTATAAAATGAACTTGCATAAATAAGGATGAATATTTGTTTACGTGCTAACAAAAAGCATTTTAGAGTCATTCTACTTTACGGCTCAGCTAATTCTTTTTAATTCTATCAATATTGAATTTCCTTGAGTTCAGGATGCATGTCAGTACACTCATGCTTTTTTGTTCCTGGAATATAGTGCAATGCCTGGCACAGACTGAGCACACAACAAATACTGGCTGAAAGAATGAATGAATGAATGAATGATCAGCTGTATTTTCCCAATCTATCATGCGTTCTTTAAAAAACAGGAAACTGGCCTTTTTCTCCATCCATCCCCTTTGCCTAGCAGAATGCTTTAGCAGTCAATTTCAGCTAAGTCATAGACAGTTTTTACATTTCTAGACCATTTTTCAAAGAATCGAATGAATGAATGAGTGAATGAATGAATGAATTTAATGAAGAAGCTTCCACATATGCCTGTGGTGACATACATTTAGAAGGCATAAAATGCTTTTAAAGTATATTATTATATTTATTAAATCAAATATATTTATGCATATGAAGTAAACTTTCGTGAGGTCTATTTTAACAGCTCAAAATAATACATGCAGAGGCAAAAAAATTATATTCAATTATTTTCATTCTGCAATTTTTGTTAACGCTTTTAGAGAAAAAGCCTTGCCTCCAATAGAATTCTTTGAGTATTTTGAGACATTTTGTTGTAAACATATCTCTGAAACATTTAATGAGAAATATCAAAATGTTCATCTAAGCAGTAAAAACTATAGATACACAAGTGTAAAAAGAAACAAACTATATTGCATAGTTTTGTGGTAGAAAAATATTGCTGTCGCTTGATTTTTATATTTTTTTCTATCAGAAAAAAACTAATTATAAATTCATCCAATTAAATATGTGGTAACATACACATGTTGTCCATATATGCTGTAAAAGTTATATTCATACAATGATTGTTTTCTCTTTATAAAGACAAAAATCAGCAGCTTAATAATATTTCAATAGCATTTGCATTCTTTCACTCAACACATTTATTGAATAATTTTTGTGTGCACAGAACTGTTCTAGATTCTGGCCTTACAGAAAGAAATCAGTAAAACTGACAAGGTTTCTGCTCTGATGAATCTTGTGTTGTAGTGGTCACAGGCATATAGCAGAAAGTACATATATTAAGATACTGATTTCAGATATGAGTAAGTACTGTGAAGAAATTAGGATAATTAGAAAAACAGTCAGTTTCTGACATGTTAAATTCGAGGCACTTATTATGGATTTGCATTTTTCTTGCCAAATCAGCTCTTAAGCCATTCGTGGATTATGCTTTAGATTAAGCTTCAGTGAGACCCTATTAGCCATTGTTTTTTAGAAAAATTGGATGGATTATTTTTTCTGACACAAGAGCTTTCATAAGGTTTTTTTTGGTGTGATAAATGATCTCTCATTGTAAATGCTTTGATGAGTATCTTCAATTAGATCAAAGAGCATTTTATAATTTTTAAACTAAAGATGAAGGGAAACAGTATATAATTGTGAGCAGAGCTCTTGACTAGAGGTTCATAGCTTTATGTTTTAAACATGGTTTACTGCTAGTAAAGCTTCAGACTTTGGATATTACCTTACTGGTGAGTTTCAACTCCCTCACCTGTAAATGGAGGGCTTAGAACAAAATGATTTTTCAGGCACCTTACAGCCTTGATATTGCTATTTTTTATTGTTATTTTTAGGCACAAAGGAAAATACCAGTGTTGCAGATACTCTTCAGAAAGTTTGGGCTGTACTGGAACAAAATATAGAACAATATGCGATTTCTCTCTTAAGGTAAAGCAGTGTAATGATGTTTCTTATTGTAACCTTTCTTATTGTTTCTTACAGTAACCTAATGATGTACCTTTCTTAAGGTAAAGCAGTGTAATGATCTTACTATAAGTTCCAGTTCAAATGCTACTATATTTGTTGAGTTTTTCCTAATCATCGCAGCTAGAAACATACCATTGCTTCTGAACTTCCACACTTCCTACTTTTTGTTTGTCTTCATTGCACTTATCTAATACCCTAAGCATAAAACCTCTGAGAAGCAAAACAGAGTTTTTTTGAAGTCTTTTGGTGCTAAAGAGATAAAAGTTAGAGTTTAGAACCTGCTAGGGGAGAGGACTCCAGTAAACAATGAAAGTTGTCAGTTGAAATCCCTGGAGGACAACATTCTAGAAACAGGGACAAGTGTGAAGTAGATTGAGCCTTAGGAAAACTGCATTTTAACCACAAACCATGTTCAAAGCAGGATAATCTGAAAAAACTAAGAGAAAATCATATATATATATG